TAAATTTAAAATATCATAATAGAAAGAGTAAGTCAATTGTAAAGCTTATTACATGTAAACTTCAATTTATAACTAATGTTGCAAAAGAATATTCTAGGAACTGTTAGAGTTGGAACCGACCACAAACAGAAAAAAGGTAAAAAGTCGAAAATGGAGATTATTTCCGTTTAATTTTGGTTAGCATCTGCAAATGAAAAAGAAAAAAAGTTTAGCATCTGTTCATATCATGAAGCCAAAATGACAGCGTTCCTTCCATGGAGTTGGTCACATGGTTTATAGCCGTTATAGTAACGGTCAACAAGTTCAATAGAAATTCGACCGTTGTTTAATACCCCTTCACTCCCACAGAAAGAAAATCTTCTATTTCCAGAACATCAAAACTAGACAGAGAATACTCTTCATTCTTTTTCTTTCATTCCTCAAACTTCACAGGCGCGGAGAAATGGCGGACGCAAAAGACGATCCTAATTCATTTATAATTGATGAAATTTACTAGTTCTCAGCGCCGCGATTCTACGATTTCATTAATGGAGAGACGGTCGAGGACATGTGCAAGGCTGAGCTTTGGTTTGAAAGTACAATCAGCTATGCCCCTTCTCTTATGTTTCTCTCCTTTCAGTTTCCTCAAAAACTTAGGGTACTGTTTGTTTGATTTTTGTATAGATTGTTTAACATACCAAGTCTTAATTCTTTATCATAGTTATTTTACAAGTCGGAGTAGTGCTTTTACAGTTCCATTTCATACCTGTATATCACTTTAGTTTAAACTTTTGAGATTTTTGGAAACTAGATTTAGTCACTGAATACAGTGAACTAAAGAGCAGATAGATATGCTTGTAATACCAATTCATTAATCAATTAGGCCTCAGTCCCAAACTAGTTGGGGTCAACCTTGAAATTATTGATAAATATGGACCTAATGCATCCTGGTGCAGAACAAAATTGAGACTGACTGTGAAACATTTTGCCTTTAGGGCATTATTTCAAGGTCATTTTTAGGAATGCCTAACCTTCAAGCTGGACTTTTTTTTTGGCAATTCAATTTCCCCAATTTGATTCCCTTTTATAGATCCGGCAATACTATTAGATGTGTTGCGTCATTGTCTATACTAGGAGTGTCAATGGATATTTAGAAACCGATTAAACCGATCGAATCGTACCGTACCGAACCGATTTTAGGTTTCTTTTAATAAAACCGTAGGTTTTTATCTAAATCTATAACTGTACCAATAATTAAGGTAGGTTTTTATTTTATGAAAATAAACGAAAAAATACCGAACCGTACCGAATAAATTTAAAATATAAAAAATATATTTATATATTAAGTTTAAAAATAATAAAGCACTGGATTTTTTCTTGGGCCTTGAAATTATGAAATAATTATAAGCTAACAAGTAATTAAACTCAAAATATTAATTTCCAAACCTATTATGCTATTCCTATTAAAACTAAATTATTTCCAGCATATTCACTAGCAAGACACAAGGTATTGTAGCGATTATGAGTAGCAAATTACAATGTATTGAATATGTTTCATTTCGTATGATTTGGATTTTTCTTTTTGAATATTTAATCTTCTATAAACGTTATTCTTGAGTGCTAGCTTGGTTAATATCTTTCTACTCGTGTAATTTATATTTTTATTGTATTTGCTTAGTTTCTTTTATGTACGTAGTTGTAGAGTAGTTGATGGATCTATACACTAGCCATCTTTCATGTTTTCTTAATTCATCACCTTTTAAATTATAAAAATATGTAAAGAGCTTTGCTAAGTCCTATAAAAGTACGTATGTTATTGCATTCTACTTCTACTAGTGAGTTTTACATGACAATCAAAAAAATTACCGAAAATTAACCGAGCCGTACCGATACCGAAGAGAAACCGACATGATTGGGATGGTTTCGGAAAATCTAATTTTGGTTTTACATAATAGAATAACCGAAAAATTGGTATGGTACAAATGTTATAAAATAACCGGCCGAACCGAACCATTGACACCCCTAGTCTATACATTGGATGTAGATTGGTAATGAGCACAGTTCTATCATGAGGATACCAATTTGAAATGGAAGTTGATGTTTGTTTACCTATTCGTTGAATTTTGCAGCTTGTATGCCAAGAATCAAGGCCACCAGATCAGTACAACTTGAGATCCCATGTGATTTTACTGAAGGCGAGTAGTTGCAGAGTAATTCAAGGTCTTTATAGTGCAAAAGGACTTATGATTCAGATAATATAATGCCAATTCATTTTACTATCATTTAACCATCATGTTCTTACACTTTTCAATGCACTGATGGGTCTGTCTGAAACAGACCTGCAGCGGAGCTTACGTCTTCTAAGATTTTGGAAGAGGAGACACCAAAGAAAAACAGGCCTGCAGCTGAGGTTTTGTCTTCTGAGGTTAAGGAAGAGGTTAATGGCAGTCTTCCCAATATCCTATGGTGAACATTTCCTATTTCAGCCTCTGTATCTGATTGTATCTATTATAATCTAACAGGAATCTGTTGAGAAACATCCAACTAGTCAAGGTTAGTTATACTTTAGCTTGGCTTTTCGATTTGTCGCTTTAGTTCTTTGCCCATTCCGTGGACAATTTCAGCTGCTAGGACAATTTCTGTACCTTCTTGTACAGAAATTTGCACCCCGGGACCACCACCTACAATGTCTAAGAGGATAGACCCCAGGAAGACTGAGTCCAACAAGCAGAAGACAGCTAAAAAGATTGCAAGCATGCTTAGAAATCCTTCAGCATTGAAGTCCAAAACTACACCACAATTGTCGCAAGTGATGAGCACTGCTCCTTCCAGCATGAGAAAGTAAGTGATGTGCTATAGTAGTTTCTTGGCACTTCGATTTTTATCCTATCCTTGTTCTTTCCCCTTCCCGCTCTCCCTAAGTTATTCTGGTCTGATAGATTCGGTGAACTTCATTTGCTGCGCAGGCAAGCAATCATGAAAAGTGCTGTTGGAACGCCCAATTTTGGGCAAGAAAATCAAGCTATAAAGAGACAAAAACTAGAAAGTGGAAAAGCCAGACAGTTAGTTTATCTATCCTTTATGTTCTCTGGATAATGAAGAATATTTAAAGCTTTTTTTATCTGACCTCAAGCAATCTTGTCCTACTGAATCGATAGATTCTGAATGTCAAACCGCAAAATTTGCCGCACAAAACACGGCCTGGAGCTAGTTGCACCACCTTCTCTTCTACTGAATCGACAACATGTTCTTTATCTTTCATTTGATAAATATATATGATTATTGGAATATTCAGAATCTGACTTAGAGGTTCATACTGTCTAAGATATATGCCCGAGAACCAGTACCACCATTTATTTCCACAGCAGAAATGATGAAGAAGTTTCAGTCCAGCACAAGGGAGATGTCACTGTCGTGCATAAGTAGTTCCACTCCGCATGTAACTCACTGAAGCCTTTACTTGATATCGACTACTTCCTTTTTTCCATTAGATCTCTTCTAAATTATCATACTCATCACCAAGGATGATTGATGCAGAGGAAGCCTAAACTTACATTGACTGCCCCAAAAGAACCAGAATTTGAGACAGCACAACGTGTCCGTCCAACTACAGTCAAGAGTTCAGCTGAGCTTGAGGAAGAAATGATGGCCAAAATTCCCAAGTTTAAGGCTCGTCCATTGAACAAAAAGGTACTATAGATAGTTTTGCCGCCACTAGCTTTCTGAATATTTCATATTGATCTTATCTCGCTTTCTTCTTTTGTACATTTGGGAACAGCTCTTCGAAGCTCCAGCTCTACCACCATTACCAAAAATGAAAAAGAAGAACTCGAAAAAATTCCGAAGTTCAAGGCTAGGCCTTTGAATAAGAAGGTAAAACAACCCCAGAAGCTTCTACCTTCTGGACTACTATTAATTATTACTACTAGTTGTCAAAATTGGTTCATGTGTTGCTGACTTTTTCAAATTGCAGATCTTTGAAAGTAAAGGAGACTTGGGAATGTTCTGCATCACAAAGAAGCAGGGTGGCATCACAAAGAAGCGGGTGACGGTGCCTCAAGAATTTCATTTTGCCACAGATGAAAGGATTCCGCCTCCTGCTAACGTTGCTGTTCTGTTTGATAAGGTTCCATCAGAATATCATCCTCCTTACTGTACTTCTATCATTAGAAATACCTTTAGGCCCCTTCTACTTTAACATTTTTCTCACTGTACTTTCCCAATTTTTCAGCTTTCTCTGAACTCTGAACCTAGAATTGAACAAACTATACCCAGAAACACCAGACCAAATCCTTTTCATCTCTATACAGAGGTATGCAATTTTTCTTTATGTCCTTGTTTTTGTTTCTTCTTATCTAAATGACATAGCTCCTCATGGCTTGGCTTTTTTCTTGAATCCAGGAAAGAGGAGCAGAGAAAGAGAGGAAACTGTTCACTGAACTTCTACAGAAACAGATTGAAGAAGAGAGGTCAAGACTTCCCAAAGCAATTCCATATCCTTACACAACTGATTACCCTGTGGTATGTAAACACCAACTATTGTAACATCCAAACTTATGTGCACTCATTATCTTATATTTTTTATTGCCAGATTCCACCAAAACCAGAACCAAAGCATTGTACAAAACCAGAACCTTTCCAACTGGAGAGTCTGCTCAGGCATGAGAGGGAGATGCAGAGGGAATTGGAAGAACGACAAAGATTGGAGAAGGAAGAAGCAAAGATGAGGACTTTTAGAGCGCAGCCAGTCTTGATCGAGTAAGACCTCAAAGAATGAATCATTATCTACTATCTATTTTCCTAGTGAATCTGAAAGATGAATAATGCTTTTACCACCCTTTAAAATGTGTAGGGATCCAATTCCAGTTCCTGAGAAAGAACGTAAACCACTAACTCAAGTACAGGAATTTAATCTACCGTGCTGTTGATAGAGCTGAGTTTGACAAGAAGGTAACACTTTTTACAGTTGCATGTAACTTTCTCGGGGAACTAAGCCTATAGCACTCATGTTATAAGTTGGTTTGCAGATTAAGGGAAAGAACAAATGTATCAAAGATATAGGGAGGAGGCAGAAGCTGCTAGACTGGTATGCATCTTCATGGTGTTATTTCGAGCTACTATAACGATGTGCTTTAGACTAATTTTTACTTGAATTTGGTTAGATGGAGGAGGAGAAGGCCTTGAAACAATTACGGAAAATTTTGGTGCCTCATGCAAGATCTGTGCCTAGATTTGATAATCCTTTCCTCCCAGAGAAGTATGTAAAATCCTGCTGCAAGACCTTTAGTCATGTTCTTTTTATTTTATTTTTAATTTCTACCGGGTTCTTTTTTCCTTTTTTACATATGGAACAACTACTGAACCTTTTTTTTGCACGCGTATTCACAGGTCTTCCAGAGCAGTGACAAAACCAAGATCACCCAAGAAATAGGCAAGAAAGGAGAAAAATGGCGTGTCCTTATGCAGCAGCAGTTCCTAGTGCTGCCTCCCTTTTTTTTTGCACGCGTATTCACAGGTCTTCCAGAGCAGTGACAAAACCAAGATCACCCAAGAAAGAGGCAAGAAAGGAGAAAAATGGCGTGTCCTTATGCAGCAGCAGTTCCTAGTGCTGCCTCCCTTTTTTTTTGCACGCGTATTCACAGGTCTTCCAGAGCAGTGACAAAACCAAGATCACCCAAGAAATAGGCAAGAAAGGAGAAAAATGGCGTGTCCTTATGCAGCAGCAGTTCCTAGTGCTGCCTCCCGGATGAGGTGAACTTATAAATTCTTAGAAAGACAATGAAGGAGAAAGATGTCCCCAGTGAGGTCAAAAACGTTTAATGATTCAAAAACTGGGGATGAATTGTTCAAGAATCCTTGAACCCCATGGAGAGATGAGGGACAATGCTACCAAATGGCTGGAACCAGTACTGTGTTTGTCTGTAAAAGATGTGCCTTTTTTGGTATATAATGAATTCTTCGAAATATATGTTCGTTAGCAGATTTTATTTCATTGTGAATTGAATATACATACCAAATAGTTTTTATATATTAGCAATAGCCATGCTATTTTCCCTTTTCATTCATCTGTTTGGTATTAACATCAAATAAGAAAGAGGAGGAAGCGGGAAGTAAGAGTTTTAAAACCCATATCCTGGGAAAAAATGGAAAGAGTTGGAAAATGTTCATGAAAATAATATCAAGTCGGAATCTCCTTGACTAAATATAATCTTTCTTGTATAGTGGTTTGTACCAATGTACACTTTGGAAAAAATGGGAAGAGGGAAAAAGGACAAATCTGCTAGTGTCTGTTTTCGTGAATTGGTGTTCATGCATAATTGAAGATATATCAAGTCGGAATCTCCTTGGAATAAATTACCGTCACTCTATAAGGAGATCAAACAAAATCTCAATGCTGGTGAGTAAAAGGAAAAAAGGAAAAAAAACACAGAATTTATTATACAAGAAGGATTATATTCTGCAGAATCAGACTATTGCTGTTCAGGGAAAACTAAAAGAAATTCTTAAATACACCGCTATCTTCTTTTCTCCTCTGCACTCGTCCTTCTACAAAGCCAACTCAAGGAACTCACATATCAGCTGAATATAATGTCATACCTCAGAATTATTTTGCACGTAAGCAAGGATCTGAAACCACAGAGAAAAGGTTGTTCAAATCTAATGGACCTCATAAAGTTTATTATAAGATAAAATAATTGGACTTGATTCCTCATTTGTAATTCCAACTCACCAGATTCTTATTTAATGGGCAACTTGAATTAATTCCTTCCAAAGTTTCTTGCCTTTCCAAGCTTTGCAGAGTAACATTGGACCCACTGACCACTCGGGCTAGCATATTTGATGCATCCATTAAGGTTGAATGGTTAACAGTGGTATTGTCCTTTACTGCCAGTAATTCAACATCTTTTACTTGTGATTTTATATCCTGAGCAACAAACTGCATTCAGAGTATCATTACCAAAATGGTTATTGAGGGAAAACGGAAAAATAAATGACCTGCAAGTACTACGGAAGCAAATCCTTTCTGAAAATATTTAGGCATAATCCTTGAACAACAAACATGTATCATCAGCATTGAGACATTATAGCAGAATCAGAAGTGCCTTTCCTTGTGATCAGGAATAAGATAATGCAGCACAAAATGGTCGAATTTGTCTTGCATCTACTATAGAGAATTTCATGTTTTAGGTCACTGAGGATTCCAGATGATTATGTTTCATATCTATTTTTGACAAGCATACTAGAAAGGAAATTTTCTTCTTCTTAATACAGTATGATGTAAAGGAATTCTTACTTCGTAGAGGTGTTCAACTGATGTACTTGGCCTGCAGCAGAGATGGGGCTTTTTCAGACTTGGTGTTGTTTGTTTGTCCAATGGAATAAGCTCAAGATGGATATTTAACTGCAAAATAAGAACAGTAATTATGGACAAGTGACCATTGAGAAAGAACCAGACATAGCTCATGCTCATTTGAGATGTTATAAGAGAAGCTAGGATAATATCATTCATGAATCAGATGAACAAGGATGTAGAGAATCTTATAATACCTCACCATCATTTGTTCGGACACTTTCAAGATAATCAACTAACTTTGATATTCGAGTGTTACGAGCATTTCTGCTACCGCTTGCACTGCCATGTCGACTGTGACTTCGGACACCACCTCTTCCCCAAGTAAGTGTTTCAGGCTTCAGTGCAGGTCCAGTAGAATTACCTACGGTTTCTCTGGGTAGTTCTGCTGCAGTTTCAATGTGTCCACCGTCTGGACTGGCAGCTGAAGGAGAAGTCGGGGTTGCCAGAGCTCCTTTGCGCCTCCGGCGCTTCCTGAACTTGGTTTGTGTTCCACGCTCATCCTTGGGAGGTGAATCTTTATTCCTGTCATGATCATCATTTTCACTCTCATTTGGATCAGATCGCTCAGGTTCAGCCCCCTGACTGTTTCTTCTTCTTCTCGAATAAGCATTGTGATAGTTGCGAGGTGTTCTTTGTGCAGAGGAAGCAGCTATGTCTTTACCAACTTTGCGCCTCTTAATTAGTGCTTCAGATTGGCGTTGAGAAATTTGGGCAATGGATGCTTGAATCTGTCCAATAAAACACAAGGCATGTATCAATCAGAAAGGATATAGCGAAGTGTCAATCAGAAAGGAAAGCCAAATTTAGCTCTATGTCCATTTTAGTTAAAGTTTACGTCCACGGTAAAGTATAATCTACTAGATAAATCATAAAAGTAAATTGGCCTATTGGATAGGCATATTATCACACCCAAAAAACACGTGTTTCGCAAACAATGGTAGAATAGTCTTTCTTCATTCTCAGATCCTCAAATACAAGAACATAGCCTTTTAAAAGATGGATTAACAAGTGCGTCAATAGGACACTTGGAGTGAGATACCAGCGAGCTCAGACGGACACATTGAGATCTTCATTTTCTGAGAACACAGCATGTGATTTAGACATAGTAGGAGTCTCAGTTTCCAAAGTAATTCTTTATAGAATGACATCTTTTAGATCTCAGTTATAAGGGGGAAAAACAGAATCTATTACATTACAAAGAAAACATCGTCAACAGATTCAGTTCTGTTAATTCATAACAACTATCTTCAACATGCATGGACCTGTAATAAATATGCATAGATCACCTTTATGTGTGTTCTATTCCAGTAACAACGTTGAGATATATGCACACAGTAAAGAAAAGAGGATACACCAAAAACAAGAACCACAAACATGCAAACAAATGCATGCCCATTCAAGAATGAGGATTTCAGTTGCTTCTTTAACTGACCTGTTCATTGAGTGCCCGTTCCTCTTCAAGAAAGACAAGCTCCTGAAACAAGGTATTCCACAAACTAGCAGACAAGTTTCATCTAAAGGAAGAGGAAAGGAATAGAGGCCTATAGTGGTTTTGTATTTCTTCTTTTTCTCATAGTGCCCCTTCTTTTTTTCATTTTAAAGGCGGGGGAGGGGATTCATTAAGTTGCACAATATTAATTAAGGAAATACCTCCTCTTCGTACTTCTCAACGTCTGGATATATTGCCTCAATTAAGGTATCAAATCCAGGGTCATCTCTCAGTGACCGTCGACTAGCACAATGTATGCGGCAAGCAGGGCATTCATTATTCCTGTAAAAGGGCGATTACAAGATAAACCCACAATAGTCATCAGGTATTCTTGGCTTCTAATGACTAGTCGAATCACAAAACTGATTTATTGCATTGCATACCCCAGTCTCATTGATTTATCTATGCATTCTCTGCAAAAACGGTGTTGGCATCCCATCACAACCCGAGTTCTCTTGATAATACCTGTGCATGCAGTGCAGACACCCAATGATAAAAAACTATTGGACTCTGTAGTCTTCAATCAACACATAGCAAATTAGTAATCAAAAATAGTATTAAGCAGTGGAACCTCAGTGCAGCTGTGATTGATATATGTAGAGCACCATAGAGACAGCCAGAACCGGAAAACAATTGGCTCCTCATAGCATATAAAGGTAATACCAGGAATACAGCATGGTAATTGAGAAGATTATGGTCATTTTAGTTGTTCGTTAAGTTGCCGAAGTCCAACGAGTAACCAGCAAATCTTGATGAAAAAAAGTAAACCAACTGAAGCCTGTGTTTGTTAGTTTTCCTTTTCCTATGAAGGTATTTGGTAATTATCCTTTTCCATTATTTTGCAGAAAACATAAAATACTAACAATCCCTGCTTGAGGAGATAAAACAAAGAAGTAAGTTTTGAAGATACTGCTGATAACGAGTCATATCTGGAAAGTTCAAGATGATGCAAAAGCTGGAAACATAGAAAGGATAAGAAAATGAGATTTCTCAGGTGAACCAGCTGAATGGTCAAGTAGTGTTCAACTTTATGATAATATCAGGCACAAGAAAACGCACTTAAGAGTTTATCCCTCCGATTTAGAACTGGGGTGGAAGACAATTGCACAAGTTACCATGAAAAACTCAGGGGAGAAAGGATAGAAGATCATATTGAGAAGTTCTCTCGTCAAAGATCTAAATGAAAAGTGAAGGAATTCCTTTTGGGAGAAGAACCTGGATTTGTTTTTAATGTAGCAGAACTTCCTCATATTCTACACGCCCTTCAGAGGAGTAAAATCATGGTCTTTTCAAGTATTCCCTTTGTCTAAACTAAAGGTTTAAAGTCTCTGACAACTGTAAGACTATAGTCTGTCACACCTTGAAAACATTTCCAGAAAAGGAAAAAGATCGTAGATTTGTGGCAGTTTTTCAAAAAGGCATACTCCATCTGTCTCAGCAAAACATCCAATGCCCAGGTGCCATTGCCAGGTTTGATCACAGAATGGGAAATGAAAGAGAGAGGAGGGAGTAGGATTTTAACCAAATATGAAGTCATTGGAATAGCAGCCATGTGTTGGAAGTTGCTTAGTCATTACAAGGAAATAGAAGCTACAGCTTTCAAGTCTCTAACAAGTTTTTGCTCCACCTTGCAGATAAATTCACATCTAACGAGGGTATCATTTCCAGCGTTACGTTTTTTTGTGATCCTTAACTTTGCCTTGACTGCACATGCAGTTGCAGAAGCGGCTTTAGGAGCCACCAGCACAAGCTTATGCTTGTATCACACCAAATTCTACAGTATCAGTGTTGATACTTTCTTTACTCATGGACAATCAAAAGAAAGAAAATTCTGACATCACTACTGCAAGCCCATAGAGGATTCAGATCACTCCTAAATTCAATCAGGTGCTAAACATACATATAATTTACCTCAATTAAAGCATCTTGAAGACCTTTTCAACTGAGTACAATAGAATACACATTTCATCCAAGAATGTTTATGCTCGTATCAGACTCAAATAGATGTCAATGGTTACTGGATCATTGAGAATAACTGGAACGAGAATCGTGAGGATCAAATGTGAATTATTAGTACAGTTCTAGCCTGTGACAAAAACTGCCCAACTATACATGACTGGCCTGGTAAATATTATGACGCTAAGAAAAAATTTCAAGGTGTCTTCTTTTGATCCCTTTTCTTCCAGG